TTGCTTAAGTTGAAACCAGCCTGAGCGAGAGCGAGACCCATCTCTACTATAAATAGAAAATAATTGGCCAACTAATATATCATAGAAAAAATCAGCGGCGCTGATGGGCATGCCTGTAGTCCCAGCTACTCGGGAGGCTGAGGCAGGAGGATCGCTTGAGCCCAGGAGTTTGAGGTTGCTATGAGCTAGCGCTGATGCCACGGCACTCACCTCTAGCCTGAGCAACCAAAGTGAGACCCTGTCTCAAAAAAAAAAAAATTTTTCAAACATACTGTAATTTTTTTAAGGAGGAGCTGTGTTGTTTTCTGTTTCAAATATGCTGATTGCTTACCTATTTAACTTTTGTTTTTTCTTTAAAGACAGGGTCTCACTCTGTCACCCAGGCTAGAGTGCAGTGGCATCATCATAGCTCACAGCAACCTCAAACTCCTGGGCTCCAGCAATCCTCCTGCCTCAGCCTCCTGACCAGCAGGGACTACAGGCAGACACCACCACTTCCGGCTAATTTTCTATTTTTTTTGTAGAGTGCTCAGACTGGTCTCAAGCTGCTGGCCTCAAGCTATCCTCCCACCTCAGCCTCCCAAAGTGCTAGGATTACAGGTGTAACCCACTGTGCCCAGCCTACCTAGTTAATCTCTCTCTCTCTTTTTTTTTTTTTTACTGTTAATAAGATTTAATAAGTACTTTGTGCCTGGCTCTGTTCCAAAGATTCTAAAAGTGGGTTATTTCATTTAGTTTTCACAGTGCCCTCAGGAAGTACAGTTGACTCTTGAACGATACAGGGGTTAGGGGTACTAACCAGCCCCCTACCCCATGCATACATGCTCCTCTGCACAGTTGAAAATCCCCATATTGGCATGGCATAGCGGCTCACACTTGTAAATCATAGCACTTTGGGAGGCAGATTGTATGTTCAGTAAGAAAGACAAATAGAAAAGGGGCAAAGAATAGGAAATCGAAAATAAACATGGAAAAATGCTCAACTTCACTAAAAATAAATGCACATTAAAAAGATTTTATTTTCAGTTAACAGATTGGCAAAGATTTAAAAGATGGATGATTTTGTGTGCAGCGAGGGCATGAAGAAATGACTGCTTCCTGCAGTGCAGTCTGCTCTCACATGTCAAAGTTACAACTGCATAGATGCCCTCTGAGTAGCACTCTGCTTCAGGAAATTTAGAGAAAAAAATTGAATAAGCAGGCAAAAGTTTATTTATAGGGGTGTTCGTTACAGTATTATTTCTAATTGCAAAAATTTGAAATAACCCAAAAACTCAGTCAGTGGGGAGGGGATGGATCTGTGAGATAAACCATAGTGTGTCCGTATTGTAGAAAACCATTAAGCCAATGAAAGGATAATACAGGTCTGTATAGCAACATGAGAAGCTATCCATGATATATAATGTGTTCATATAATTTGTAAAAATTGTAGGTCTAAATATGTTATGTTTTTAATACCTGGAAAGAAATACTTCTAATGTTAATAATCTCAGGAATAAGATTACAAGGGAAGGTATTTTTACTTTTCTATTATGTATTTCTGCATTGTTTTAATTTTTAAAAAATGCAGGCTGGGCGAGGTGGCTCACGCCTGTAATCCTAGCTCTCTGGGAGGCCGAGGCGGACAGATTGCTCGAGGTCAGGAGTTTGAAACCAGCCTGAGCAAGAGCGAGACCCCGTCTCTACTATAAATAGAAACAAATCAATTGGCAAACTAATATATGTAGAAAAAATTAGCCGGGCATGGTGGCGCATGCTTGTAGTCCCAGCTACTCAGGAGGCTGAGGCAGGAGGATCGCTTGAGCCCAGGAGTTTGAGGGTGCCATGAGCTAGGCTGATGCCACGGCACTCACTCTAGCCTGGACAACAAAGTGAGACTCTATCTAAAAAAAAAAATTAAAAAAAAAATAATAAAATGTACGTAAACTTTGAGTGTCCTATGATCAGTCATAAAGAGGAGAAGGAACATTGGTAATTTTCTATGTGAAATATTTTTTACTTGTTAAGCAAAATGATTTAAAAGTCTTCATAAAAGCAAAATAGTAAAGTTAAGAATATATTGGGATAGAAACTGGCAAACCTGGGACTTTGCTCGTGTTATAATTCATCAATGGTGAAACCATGGCCAAGTCACTTAACTTCCTGAGTCTCAGTTTCCTCATCTCTAAAATGGACATAATAATATTCCCTGTCCTACATATTTAAAGATTGTCACAAATCTTGAATTTGATTATATATGCAAAAGCAATTGGGAAAAGTTGATATCTTTAACACTTATAAATGATTTTCGTTTTTATACTCTGAGACAGCTTTTTAAGGCAGTCTCTTTGTTTAACACAAGAAATGCATGCCCATTGTAGAAAACTTTTTAAATGCAAATAAAGAAAAGTGAAAATTACCAGTAAATTCTGATATTCAAACAGTGGCTCTCAAATTTTAGAGTGCCTGAGACTCCCAGTCTTATTGAAAACAGTGTCTTACTGAATTAGAGTATCTGGTGTGAGTCTGGAATAATCTGCATTTTAAAACAACCCCCAACCCTACCCCCACTCACACCCCTAGCCCTGCTTGCCAAGAGCCATCTGCTGTCCAAAACTTGAGGTGTATGCACTGAGAGAAAGTAGACCTAGTGGGAATTTAAAATTGCTCCTGCCATTTTTCTACCTTTTTTAAAATCACCTTTGTAATTAAAAAGTATCATCCAATGTAGTAAAGAAAGGTTATACAATTCAAAAAAGATGGTAGAGTGACATTCCTCCTTCATCTCTTCAATTCCTGGTCTCCTCACCAGAAATAACCATTGTTAATAGTTTTAGAACGTTTTCTGTATAGTTATAAACATAAACATATGTAGGCATATATATTCATATATCCTATATTTGTAAGGTTTCTAAACATAAACATGATCATGCATAGTCTCTTCTCATTTAAATAATACATCATAAATACATTTCTGTGGCAGTTCATATAGATTTCATCTCATTCTTTTTAACAGTCTCATTGTAGTCCACAACAAAATGTGCTATAATTTATTTAACCTATTCCCCAATAAATATATACATATGTTTTTTAAATTCTATAACGAACACTCTTTGTCATCTAT